GTAGAGTAGAAGGGCAGCTCAAATTTCCTGGATCAAGAGTCCTTCATCAGCAGCAAGTGTTTCATCTTACAGTGGAGGAGGTAATGGCAGTGGAGAGTGACTATGAGATACTCAAATATTACTGGGAGACGTGGAGGGACGCCTCAGGCAAGCTGATAAAAGACGACTACGTCGACTATATTAGACTACTCAACACAGCCGCTGATTTGAATAGTACGTATTTCATTTCTTTAACATATACTGACGTATTTTAAGAGCCCGCTGGAGGGGTCGTCACAGCCAGCTGTCCACTTGATACACATCTCTTATTCCCTGTTCTCCATAGAGTTCTCAGACGCTGGTGAGATGTGGCTTCAACCGTACAGAGACGGTGACTACAATACTACTGACTTCGTTGACGATATCGAGAAACTGTGGAACGCAACTAAGCCACTTTACGAGAAGCTGCATGCTTATGTACTTGACAAACTGAAACGTATTTACAAGGAAAATATCAAAGAAGACGAACAGTTTATTCCGGCGCATGTTCTAGGTGTGTATATATTGAAAATGCTGAAAGAATTTATATAATGGGACGGGTGTAATGTCGTACGTAAGGTGATATTTCAGCTTCATAATTCTTCTGCAAAAGTTAGTTAATAAGTTAGCTACCATTGTTGCCGTCTCTGTTATGGCGTAACAACAACAGTAAGAACCAAAACACTGTCTTCCTCAGGTAATATGTGGGCTCAGTCGTGGGAGAATATTTATGAACGCGTGAAGCCTTTCGACGTTAATATCACTGATATTACCGAGGATCTTAATTCACAGGTAAGTGGAGTGAGGTTTGTACACAGGTGTGCTGTAGTGGTGGTCGTGTAGATGAAGTTAGATTATTAAATGCAAAATGTAGCGTTGGATAAGTTCGAGTCGTAGAGATAAGTTTATTTAGGTACATGTTTATATACAGTTACATATTTGATCATACATAGTAGCATATGTGTAGATTTTCTTGGATAACCCAAAGAAGTCAGACAGTGACTCACAAATTAAGCGCTGAAAGACGCGGTTTGAAGCTTAATTTCGTGATTGACAGACATAGGTTATGTGATGCTAACTAGTGTAGTGGGTAAGCTTAAGGTTAAGCCAAGTAGGATTACGCACCAGGTATTATGTAACGATAGCTGAGATGTGCTTAATTTGATGGCATAGTTTGCTATATTGTCAATTTATGTCCACGGGAGGATCAGAGTTGTGCCCCAGTAAATATTTACTCAAATATTTTGTTTAGATTTCTAATGATTATAGCACTTTTAACCTCCTCTTTCAATTAATTCCATTATTCCACTAGTCAGTTTGTAAAAATAAAATCTAGAATTCCCTCGGTATTATGTTTTTTCTTGCAACTGTGTCCTCATTTTTTTATCTTGTTGGAGGTACAAAGTATCGTCATCAATTCTGTCACAACATTTTATGGAAAAGATTGAAAATGTCTGAGAGTCATTTTTTTTTTGTGTGTGTGTGGTGGGGGGAAATGAGTTAGATATTCGGTGCTGAATAAGTTTACTAAATAATCAACACTACATTTGGTTGTAGATTCAAGACGAGAAAGAAATGTTCTGCCTGTCGGAGAATTTCTTCACCAGCCTGGGTATGTACAGCATGACGAAGGACTTCCGGGATAACTTAGTGCTTAAACGCCCGGGTGGTGACAAAAAGTTTATCTGTCAGGCCTCCGCTTGGGACTTCTACGACACAGAGAATATGCCAGAGGATGGCCGCTTCAGGTAGCTACAATTACTAATGTTGTCAGCAGTGTTGTGCTCTGCAAATATGTATCAGTGCTTCTCTCCACCGTGTTATTTATCTTGTGTCTCCGTTTTTACTCTGTTGGTTGCTCCGTCTTGTTACTCTGTTGTGTTGCTCCGTCTTGTTACTCTGTTGTGTTGCTCCGTCTTGTTACTCTGTTGTGTTGCTCCGTCTTGTTACTCTGTTGTGTTGCTCCGTCTTGTTACTCTGTTGTGTTGCTCCGTCTTGTTACTCTGTTGTGTTGCTCCGTCTTGTTACTCTGTTGTGTTGCTCCGTCTTGTTACTCTGTTGTGTTGCTCCGTCTTGTTACTCTGTTGTGTTGCTCCGTCTTGTTACTCTGTTGTGTTGCTCCGTCTTGTTACTCTGTTGTGTTGCTCCGTCTTGTTACTCTGTTGTGTTGTCCGTCTTGTTACTCTGTTGTGTTGCTCCGTCTTGTTACTCTGTTGTGTTGCTCCGTCTTGTTACTCTGTTGTGTTGCTCCGTCTTGTTACTCTGTTGTGTTGCTCCGTCTTGTTACTCTGTTGTGTTGCTCCGTCTTGTTACTCTGTTGTGTTGCTCCGTCTTGTTACTCTGTTGTGTTGATCTGTCTTGAATATGTTAAATTTAATGAAGTGAAATTGAGTTTTCATTACATCATATATTTTATGTTTTAATATTCTTAAACAAGGCACTCTTCAAAACACTGGTTTTCTGGAACTGTAAACACACGTTTATAAACTTACAAGCTTATAGATTTACAAGCTTAGAGGCTAACAAGCTTAGAGGCTAACACGCTTACATACATACAAGCTTGGCAACTTACCACGACAGTACAGGTATATATGAATAGAATGTCCTTTCAAATGCGTTTCATTTTGTCTGACAAATTAACATTAAATTCATTGCATCGGAGTCTACTGTTGATAAACATTAAGATGAGCAAAAACTAAACTAAATTTACTTATTGTAAAGGAGTCAATAATGTTTACATAGTTGTCGGTTATGATTTCACAACTATCCTTTAGTAGAGAACACTAGCACAAGAGCACGGCTTTGCTCGATGGTTTTAGTTGCTAGTGTCTGATTTATTCCTTAGCTTCTGCTTGCCAGATCCTGACTTCTGCTTGCCAGATCCTGGCTTCTGCTTGAAAGATCCTGGCTTCTGCTTGAAAGATCCTGGCTTCTGCTTGAAAGATCCTGGCTTCTGCTTGTCAGATTCTGGCTTCTGCTTGCCAGATCCTGGCTTCTGCTTGAAAGATCCTGGCTTCTGCTTGAAAGATCCTGGCTTCTGCTTGAAAGATCCTGGCTTCTGCTTGAAAGATCCTGGCTTCTGCTTGAAAGATCCTGCCTTCTGCTTGTCAGATTCTGGCTTCTGCTTGCCAGATCCTGGCTTCTGCTTGCCAGATCTGACTTCTGCTTGCCAGATCCTGACTTCTGCTTGTCAGATCCTGACTTCTGCATGCCAGATCCTGGCTTCTGCTTGCCAGATCTGACTTCTGCATGCCAGATCCCGGCTTCTGCTTGCCAGATCCTGGCTTCTGCTTGCCAGATCTGACTTCTGCTTGCCAGATCCTGATCCTGGCTTCTGCATGCCAGATCCTGGCTTCTACTTGCCAAATCTGACTTCTGCTTTCCAGATCCTGGCTTCTGCATGCCAGATCCTGACTTCTGCATGCCAGATCCTGACTTCTGCATGCCAGATCTTGGCTTCTGCTTGCCAGATCTGACTTCTGCATGCCAGATCCTGGCTTCTGCTTGCCAGATCCTGACTTCTGCATGCCAGATCCTGACTTCTGCATGCCAGATCCTGACTTCTGCTTGTCAGATCCTGACTTCTGCTTGACAGATCCTGACTTCTGCATGCCAGATCCCGACTTCTGCATGCCAGATCCTGGCTTCTGCTTGCCAGATCATTACTTCTGCATGCCAGATCCTGGCTTCTGCTTGCCAGATCTGACTTCTGCATGTCAGATCCTGGCTTCTGCATGACAGATCCTGACTTCTGCATGCCAGATCCTGACTTCTGCTTGCCAGATCCTGACTTCTGCATGCCTGATCCTGACTTCTGCATGCCAGATTCTGACTTCTGCATGCCTGATCCTGACTTCTGCATGCCAGATCCCGGCTTCTGCTTGCCATATCTGACTTCTGCTTGCCAGATCCTGGCGTCTGCTTGCCAGATCCTGGCTTCTGCTTGCCAGATCTGACTTTGCTTGCCAGATCCTGGCGTCTGCTTGCCAGATCCTGGCTTCTGCTTGCCAGATCTGATTTCTGCTTGCCAGATCCTGACTTCTGCTTGTCAGATCCTGACTTTTGCATGCCAGATCCTGACTTCTGCTTGTCAGATCCTGACTTCTACATGCCAGATCCTGACTTCTGCATGCGAGATCCTGACTTCTGCATGCCAGAACCTGACTTCTGCATGCCAGATCCTGACTTCTGCATGCCAGATCCTGGCTTCTGCTTGCGCCAGATCCTGACTTCTACTTGCCAGATCCTGACTTTTGCATGCCAGATCCTGACTTTTGCATGCCAGATCCTGACTTCTGCATGCCAGATCCTGACTTCTGCATGCCAGATCCTGGCTTCTGCTTGCCAGATCCTGACTTGTACTTGCCAGATCCTGATTTTTGCATGCCAGATCCTGACTTCTGCATGCCAGATCCTGGTTTCTGCTTGCCAGATCCTGACTTCTACTTGCCAGATCCTGACTTTTGCATGCCAGATCCTGACGTCTGCATGCCAGATCCTGGCTTCTGCTTGCCAGATCCTGACTTCTACTTGCCAGATCCTGGCTTCTGCATGCCAGATCCTGGCTTCTGCTTGCCAGATCCTGGCTTCTGCATGCCAGATCCTGACTTCTGCATGCCAGATCCTGGCTTCTGCTTGCCAGATCCTGAATTCTACTTGCCAGATCCTGGCTTCTGCATGCCAGATCCTGGCTTCTGCTTGCCAGATCCTGGCTTCTGCATGCCAGATCCTGACTTCTGAATGCCAAATCCTGGCTTCTGCTTGCCAGATCCTGACTTCTGCATGCCACATCCTGACTTCTGCATGCCAGATCCTGGCTTCTGCTTGCCAGATCCTGGCTTCTGCATGCCAGATCCTAGGCTCCGCCTTCCTGACTCTGACAAGCCCTGGTTTGTTAGCTCCGGGAGAGCTAAAAATATTTTCCTTAACATTTTCTTTTTAACGTAACCTTAATTATCGCCGGGTAATTTATGACTTTTTTCATTTCAGAATTAAAATGTGCGCGAATAAAACCCAGAAAGACTTCATCGTGATCCACCAGCAGATGGGTCATACAGAGTATCAAATGTCTTACAGCACCTCTCCTCTTGTATTTCGTGATGGCGCAAACCCAGGTAATAATATCTACTGCATCCTCCCCTCACATATGCTAATTTTAGATTGCATTAATGGCTTCATTGAATCACTACCAAGAGTGATCCAACGGAACGAAACGACAAAAGCTGGAATTAGTAAGTGGCTGCTGGTCAGGCTATAACGAACCTTTCCAAGATTGTACTTTGTGATGCAGTGGTCGAGAGCTCCGGAAGTTTAGCTGGCTTCCTGGGAGATTTCTTAAAGTGTTGGGTTGGAAACTTTAAGGCAGTGTTGTTCTTTGCTTTTAAAACCTCTCAAGAGTGCTATGTGACTTGATATGCTGGTGAGAGGTTTCTGGTCCAAGGAACTGTACCCATACTCCCATTCCTTGGCTTGAAGATGATTGCCTTCCAGTTCTCAAACGCTTTTTGACCCCTACGGGAGTAGTGCTTATGGTCAAAATTCTCACTCTAATACTCAACGCAATAACAGTAATCATATTAATCTGAAATACCGATTAATTAAACGCCGATTATTCATATAACGATTATTCATATAGGAATTATATGGAATTAGATAAAGCTTATTGAGGGACCGGAGGAGAGGGCACACAGTGCTATCACTCCAGGTCATGCACCACAAGGGTCATCTATGCTTTAATTCTTCATTCGTAGTTCGATTGCTGGCTCACTCAGCTCACACTGAGGTCCGTGGTTCGATCCCTGGTACGGGTGGACACATTAGGACGTGTTTCCTAAAGGCACCTGCTGTCCATGTTCACCTGGGGACAAAAGTGACCTAATTTGCCCTAAATGTTCTGGATAACAAGGGATTTTCTACATAGTATGTCACTGATGTCAGTTGGGCTTGTATACCTTATACATGTAGTTGTTGAAATAAAGATTATTATTATTATTATTATTATTATTATTATTATTATTATTATTATTATTATTATTATTATTATTATTATTTATTATTATTATTATTATTATTATTATTATTATTATTATTATTAATATTAATAATATTTTATTATTATTATTAATTATTATTATGTATTTTTTTATTACATTATTATTATTATTATTATTATTATTATTATTATTATTATTATTATAATTATTATTATTACTTATTATTATTAATTATATTATATTATTATTATTATATACGTCTGTGTACTAAACGTATCATGTTTTTCTCTCAATGCAGGGTTCCTTGAAGCCATCGGAGGCACAATTGGACTTTCAGTGAGCACTCTCGGTCATCTAGACAAAGTATCGAGCGCTATAAACAGTAACACCAAGTTATGTAATACTGCATTCACGCTGGAAGACTTCGCAACACAACAAGAGCAACATGTCGCAGTTCAATCCGAAAAACAGATCAATTTCCTCATGAAGGAAGCTCTCTCAAAGGTGTGTTACAGAAAGTATATTTTATACTGATACATATATACATATATATATATATATATATATATATATATATATATATATATATATATATATATATATATATATATGTATATATATATATAGTTTAGATAAGGATCTGCCGTGTAGGGATCAGTAGGCCTGCTGCAGTGTTCTCTGTTTTTATGTTCTTATATAATATTTATAAGCATATAAATTAATACATATTGTATTTTATTACATTCAGATCGCCTTCCTTCCTTACGCCTATATACTCGACAAATGGCGCTGGATCTTTTCAACAATAACAACGAAGATACGAACTTTAACGAAAAATGGTGGAGATACAGGTGAGTGTTATATATATATATATAATATATATATATATATATATATATATATATATATTATATATATATATATATAATGTATATATATAACAACACCGCGACTAGCCAAGGACTCGAACCCATGCTGCTTTGGCCTGCCTCATAGAATTCGTGGGCATATATATGTGTGTGTGTGTTTAAAGAAATGATAAACCTTCACTTACTAAATACGATGTTTTTCTTATATTTTTACCTAATTATTGTTCTCTCTCGGTCTGTTCCACAAGGTTGAACGTTCAAGGAATTTCTCCTCCGGTTCAGCGTTATCCGTCCTCTGATTTCGACCCTGGAAGCAAGTACCACGTCGCTACCAACGTTCCGTACATCAGGTTCAATTCAATTCAATTCAAAGTTTATTCTCTATAAGGATTACAATGCTGAGTTTACAGAAATTTAGTTATTGTGTGGTTTACATGTAGTAAAATAGTGATTACAGAGTGTACCACTAGAACGCTTAGCATGGCTAGGCATTTCGGTTAGAGGGAGAGAGACAAAAAGGAGAGAAATAGAGATAGATAGACACATTCACTTACACATACTCATACACACTCACACACACATACACACACACACACACACCACACACACACACACACACAACCATGCTATCAAGAGCCACTGGAAAAAATCAAGGGAGAAACTGACCACATACATGCAGGATCCAGAGTCACAGAGGGTGAGGCAATGGGAGGAGGAAAGGGCAAAATCAGTGCTTATCCATGGGCTTCAGGAGAGAGAGGAAAGGACACACACTGAAAGGCAGCAGGAAGAAAGAAAGGAGATTGAGAAAATCATCACGGAAATAGGTGAAGAGATGGACGAGATTGTAAATTTTCAGAGAATAGGGGGGTACTCGAAGGGGAGAAACCGACCAATCAAGCTGATTCTCAGGACGGAAACAGTGCGGAACAGGATCCTCCAAGAGAAACCACGGTTGAAATACTCGGAAGAGTACAAGAAGGTGTTCCTAGACAGAGACAGGACACAATCAGAACGACAGCAGCTGAGGGAGAGGACAAAAAAGCGAAAGGAGCTAAGAAAAGAGACAAGGATGGAACCAGCAGAGGTCAGTCAGAGCAGAACAGAACAGCAAGGGCAAGCACATACAACTATTCTCAGAACCATACAACCAATCACACCATCCCAACACACACTACAATCCATACCCACAGCCTCCACCCAACACCGAGCTATAGAATCCCACAGTATGCTACCAGGTCTCCCTCCCTCACAGACCCCCAAACCACAGTGTTGGAAAGGAAACTGAAGGTATGGTACACAAACGCTGATGGAATAACAAATAAGTGGGAGGAGTGGCATGAAAGAGTCAAAGAGGCATCACCGGACATCATAGCTCTCACAGAAACCAAGCTTACAGGTATGATAACAGATGCCATCTTTCCAACGGGATACCAAATCCTGAGGAAAGACAGAGGAACAGGGGGGGGGTGGAGGAGTGGCATTGCTGATCAAAAATTGCTGGAATTTTGATGAGCTGGAGAGAGGAGACAGCGGAGAAGAAAGTGATTACATAGCGGGAACGCTTCACTCTGGAGGTCCCAAGGTGGTAATAGCAGTGATGTATGACCCACCACAGAACAGCAGGAGGCCAAGGCAAGAGTACGACGAGAGGAATAGAGCGATGGTTGACACACTGGCTACAGTGGCCAGAAGAGCTCATGCATGCAGGGCAAAGCTCCTGATCATGGGTGACTTTAACCACAAGGAGATCGATTGGGAGAACTTGGACCCGCATGGGGGCAAAGATACATGGAGGGCTAAGATGATGGAGGTGGTACTGGAAAACTTCATGTACCAACACGTAAGGGACACTACAAGAGAGAGAGGAGAGGATGAACCAGCAAGGCTGGACCTAGAATTCACCTTGAGTAGTGCAGATATCGAGGACATCACATATGAAAAACCCCTTGGGGCCAGTGACCATGTGGTTTTAAGCTTCGAATACACAGTAGAGCTACAAGTGGAGGGAGAAGCAGGAAGGCCAGGACGAATGAAGCCAAACTACAAGAAAGGGGACTACACAGGAATGAGGAACTTCCTGAACGGGGTTCAGTGGGACAGAGAACTGGCAGGGAAGCCAGTTAATGAGATGATGGAATATGTAGCAACAAAATGCAAGGAGGCTGAGGAGAGGTTTGTACCCAAGGATAACAGGAATAATGAAAAAGCCAGGATGAGCCCATGGTTTACCCAAAGGTGCAGGGAGGCAAAAACGAAGTGTGCTAGGGAATGGAAGAAATATAGAAGGCAAAGGACCCAGGAGAATAAGGAGAGCAGTCGTAGAGCCAGAAACGAATATGCACAGATAAGAAGGGAGGCCCAAAGACAATATGAAAATGACATAGCAGCGAAAGCCAAATCTGACCCGAAACTGTTGTACAGCCACATCAGGAGGAAAACAACAGTCAAGGACCAGGTAATCAGGCTAAGGAAGGAAGGAGGAGAGACAACAAGAAATGACCGTGATGTGAGGAACTCAACAAGAGATTCAAAGAAGTGTTCACAGAGTAGACAGAAGGGGCTCCAGAAAGACGGAGTGGTGGGGCACACCACCATGTGCTGGACACAGTGCACACAACCGAGAAAGAAGTGAAGAGGCTTCTGAGTGAGCTAGATACCTCAAAGGCAATGGGACCAGATAACATCTCCCCATGGGTATTGAGAGAGGGAGCAGAGGCGCTATGTGTACCCCTAACAACAATATTCAATACATCTATCGAAACAGGGAGATTCCCTGAGGCATGGAAGATAGCAAATGTAGTCCCAATCTTTAAAAAAGGAGACAGACATGAAGCATTAAACTACAGACCAGTGTCACTGACATGTATAGTATGCAAAATCATGGAGAAGATTATCAGGAGAAAAGTGGTGGAACACCTAGAAAGGAATGATCTCATCAACAGCAGCCAACATGGTTTCAGGGACGGGAAATCCTGTGTCACAAACCTACTGGAGTTCTATGACATGGTGACAGCAGTAAGACAAGAGAGAGAGGGGTGGGTGGATTGCATATTCTTGGACTGCAAGAAGGCGTTTGACACAGTTCCACACAAGAGATTGGTGCAAAAACTGGAGGACCAAGCAGGGATAACAGGGAAGGCACTACAATGGATCAGGGAATACTTGTCAGGAAGACAGCAGTGAGTCATGGTACGTGGCGAGGTGTCAGAGTGGGCACCTGTGACCAGCGGGGTCCCACAAGGGGTCAGTCCTAGGACCAGTGCTGTTTCTGGTATCTGTGAACGACATGACGGAAGGAATAGACTCTGAGGTGTCCCTGTTTGCAGATGACGTGAAGTTGATGAGAAGAATTCACTCGATCGAAGACCAGGCAGAACTACAAAGGGATCTGGACAGGCTGCAGACCTGGTCCAGCAATTGGCTCCTGGAGTTCAATCCCACCAAATGCAAAGTCATGAAGATTGGGGAAGGGCAAAGAAGACCGCAGACGGAGTACAGTCTAGGGGGCCAGAGACTACAAACCTCACTCAAGGAAAAAGATCTTGGGGTGAGTATAACACCAGGCACATCTCCTGAAGCGCACATCAACCAAATAACTGCTGCAGCATATGGGCGCCTAGCAAACCTCAGAACAGCATTCCGACATCTTAATAAGGAATCGTTCAGGACCCTGTACACCGTGTACGTTAGGCCCATATTGGAGTATGCGGCACCAGTTTGGAACCCACACCTAGCCAAGCACGTAAAGAAACTAGAGAAAGTGCAAAGGTTTGCAACAAGACTAGTCCCAGAGCTAAGAGGTATGTCCTACGAGGAGAGGTTAAGGGAAATCAACCTGACGACACTGGAGGACAGGAGAGATAGGGGGGACATGATAACGACATACAAAATACTGAGAGGAATTGACAAGGTGGACAAAGACAGGATGTTCCAGAGATTGGACACGTAACAAGGGGACACAGTTGGAAGTTGAAGACACAGATGAATCACAGGGATGTTAGGAAGTATTTCTTCAGCCACAGAGTAGTCAGTAAGTGGAATAGTTTGGGAAGCGATGTAGTGGAGGCAGGCATCCATACATAGCTTTAAGCAGAGGAAAGGTAAAGCTCACGGTTCAGGGAGAGTGACCTAGTAGCGATCAGTGAAGGGGGGGGGCCAGACTCGGACTCGCCCCCCGCAACCTCAATGGGTGAGTACAACGGGGGTGAGTACAACAAAACACACACTTATACAAATGGATCCAGGGAACTTAAGTATCACAAAGTTTTTTACTGGGCCACTACACCCCCAGCAATGAGCACCACTTTCTTTCCAGCACCTTCCATTTTCCAGCACAGCACCACTTTCCAGCACAGCTTCCATTTTCCAAACACTACCACTTTCTAGCCAGCTCCCACTTTCCAGCACAGCTTCCCTTTCCAAACATACCACTTTCCACACAGCTACCACTTTCCAGAAAGCTACCACTTTCCAGCACGCTGCCTTTCCGCACAGCTTCATTTTCCAGACAGCTACCATTTTCCCAGCACATTTTCCATTTTTTCCAGAACAGCTACCATTTCTAGCAAAGCATCACTTCCAGCACAGTTTCCACTTTCCCAGAACAGCTACCACTTTCCAGCACAGCTACCACTTTCCAAACAGCTACATTTTCCAGCAAGCTCCATTTTCCAGACAGCTACCATTTTCGCAGCTCCCATTTTCCCAGCACAGCTACCACTTTCCACACAGCCCCTTTTTCCCAGAACACTACCATTTCCCCAGCACAGCTTCCATTTTCCAGCACAGCAAACCACTTTCGGGCCCAGCGCCATTTTCCAGCACAGCTCCCACTTTCTACACGCTACCACTTTCAGCACACTCCACTTCCAGCACAGCTACCATTTTCTAGCACATCTCCACTTTCCAGCACGAACCACTTTCCAGCACAGCAAACCACTTTTAGCACAGCTGCCACTTTCCAGCACAGCTCCCAAATTTTCAGCACAGCTACCACTTTCCAGCACAGCTACACTTTCCACACAGCACCATTTCCCAGCACAGCTCCACTTTCCACACAGCCCCACTTTCCAAGCACAGCTACCATTTTTCCAGCACAGCTACCACTTTCTAGCACTTTACCACTTTTTCCTCCACAGAAAGCTCCACGTCCCCCCAATGATTTCCCCCCTTTTCGGGTATTTCGTGGCTGGAATCCTCCATTCCAGTTCCATCACATCTTTGCAACGTGGCGCACCAGAAAAAACTTTTTTGGGATTGCCCATCACCAAAAAGAGCGGGTGCCCTCTTCGGTACTAGCTCTTTCTGCAAACTTTTTAGATTATTCCCTTTTCGGTACACATTGATGAATTGGGTCCCGTTCCTTCTTTGCTATGGCTTTCCGGGTATCTTCCCCTTTTGACCCCTTCTGACATCTCTTTATAATCAGTCAGTGACATCTCCCCCAATAATCAGTGACATCTTTCCCTATGATCCGTCAATCCTCATAATTTTTGGATATTATTAATTATTTTCCTGTTCACCAAGGAGACTCTTGGTCAAGAAACAAAATCTGTTCCATCAAGTAGCATGAAAAAAGAATTGTGAATTTACAAAGGCTGGCTGTAAACAAATAACAAGTACATAGAGCAAAAGAAGACCCTTTTATAAGCGAAAAAGGAGAGAATTTCCATTATAAGAGCAACTGTGTGTCTTTTCCATCGTGTGGACATCTCATAACATTTACCCATCTAGGAAAATGTTGGAGACGGGCGCCTCTGTTGGTTGGCGACAGCAGCTGAAAGACTTCCTAGGAAGTGACACCGGCATGAGCGCTAAGGACATCCTCGACTACTTCCAGCCCCTCGAAGACTATCTGGACGACTACATCAGTAATTCCTCACTCGTAGTAAGTACTAGACACGGGTATAACAAATCGGGTTTATGTTGTGAAGTTTTACGTTATGCAGTGTAGGTTATAATTATTATTATTATTATTATTATTATTATTATTATTATTATTATTATAATTATTATTACGAATACTACTACTACCACCACTACTAATAATGTTGTTTACCTCTGTATTAATGCTTCTGCTAATACCACTGCTATTACTACTGCTACTACAACTACTACACTACTACTACTATCGTCAGTGCTCTTACTACTACTAGTTTCATTAGTTAATATTAATCTTCTTTTTCTTTTCTTCTTCATCGTAACCTGATGCAATAAATTCATATAAGGTCGTTCAGCACCGGTAGCGGTGGAGGCTCGATCCTCCCTATAAAGATGCTCTTCCAGATTACACCGACTACAGCTAGTCTTTTAGGATGACTGTCCATCGCCCTTTTAGATTTTCAGCCAGAGTAAAATAATATTTTGTTTTCGTAGGTGGCATGGAAACAAGATTCGGTGGATGACTACATGAAGGATGAGCTGGTGGATATTCCCGCTACGGTGCCCATAGTTGTGGGTGTGGTGCTGGCGCTGATGGTGGTAATAGTGATTGTGGCTTACTTCGTGGGTCGCGCCAGAGAGAAGAAAAAGGAGGAGGTGGAAGAGAGAGGTGGTCACTCTGGAGAGCAGGTGGAAATGGCTGTTAACGGAGAAGGTAGCGTACATACCAACTCATCGCCGATTGATAAGCACAACCCATGAAGAGACGACCATTTGTAAAGTGGATAGAGGTGTCGCTTGAAGAAGGAGGAGGATAGGAGAAGTGGTAGTGGTGGCGGCAGAGGATGAGCGAAGTGGATAAGTAGAGGATTGTGGCTAAAAGAGAAGGAATTGAACTGAACCCCTGAATGAACAGTACACAGGACAAAAAAAAAGCAGTGAAAGACAAACTAATGATTGAACCATGAATGTAATTGACAGAAGAACCCTGACGCCGTCCAGGAAAGTGAAACAAATTGTAACATAAGAAATTCTGTTATAATCAGGTGGAAGAACTAAACCCTGTGGGGGTTTATATAGCTTCTGGGGCATCTGAGGCATTCAGGTTAGATCCAAGGAAGGGAAGGACAGGTCCAGTCCCTTGGATCAAGAGTTCCCCACGGGCAACTGGATTACCTACCTGTCATGACTGTCCTAGTGAGATATGTGTTTCACGTCCAATTTATATACCTCCAATTTACACACGTCCATTTACACACATCCAACTTACACACGTCCAATTTACATACCTCCAATTTATGTACGTCCAATTTACAAACGTCCAGTTTACATACGTCCAATTCACACACGTCCACTTTACACACGTCCATTTTAAACACTGAATATAGAAACGCTTCTCTTGGTGTCCTGGTGTCCACAATTCATCTAATCCTCTCGTAATAAACGTAAAATCTGTGAGGTAATGAGAAACTTGCCAGTCTATTTTGTGCACAATGTTTGTCTGAGTTAGTAAGGTTGATCCTCTTAACATTCTCATTGTCTAGCTGTGTTCTACACACACACACACACCACACACACACACCAACACACACACACACACACACACACACACACACACACACACACACACACACACACACACACACACACACACACACACACACACACACACACACACACACACAAACACACACACACACACACAAACACACACACACACACGTGCGTTTTTTTTAGCTAAAGTGGTCAAAGAAACCGAATTAAGTGCTTTTTGTCAAAGATTCTTAACTCATGGATTGATGTATTTACGAGCATAAATATTGTAATCAATGTTGTATATGTGCTAAAAGTGACTATAAAGTTATCTGTTATTGAGTATTTTTTTGTATAGTCTTGTATTAAGTATATTTTCATCATACACTCTGGCGTGTATAAGCTGCCTAGTTGTCTGCACCAAAATATAGTTCATAGCCTAGAAAAAAATTTAGAATTTGAGTAGAGAGTTTTCTTTCTTAAAAATATCAACTAATTGGATTTGTTTTCATAATTTTCTCTAAAGTGTTTCTGTTCTATCTACATACATAAAAATTATATACAAAAAAGAGTTATGCAGTAGGCCTACTAGACTAGGCTGGCCATTCCTTCTAATAGGTCTACCGGATTACCCTTGTTTTTCCAAAGCTAATTTTGAACAACTCTCATTTTGTTCACAATGAGCATTGAAAAAATAAATTCTGTGCAATATTTAATCTTTGTAATTCATGTTCATTGGTAATATAGTCCAATTATGCCACGAGACTTCTGGTAATCCTGGTACACGAGGGAATTTTCCAGTTCCGGAGATATGCTGATATTTCATGGAGCAGTTATAAATACTCTGTACACTAGTTGTGGTGCTGGAAAGCAGTTATGGAAGGCATCACCATTTGGAAGGCAACAGTGGAAGGCACCGCCCTCTGGAAGGCAGCAGTGGAAGGCACCGCCCTCTGGAAGGCAGAAGTGGATGGCACCACCCTCTGGAAGGCAGCAGTAGAAGATACCACCCTCTGGAAGGTACGAGTCGAAGGCACCACCCTCTGGAAGGCAGCAGTGGTGGGCACCACCCTCTGGAAGGCAGCAGTGGAAGACACCATCTTCTGGAAGGCAGCAGTGGAAGGCACTAGCCTCTGCAAGGCAGCAGTGGAGGACACCACCCTCTGGAAGGTAGGAGTGGAAGGCACCACCCTCTGGAAGGCAGCAGTGAAGGGCACCACCCTCTGGAAAGCAGCAGTGGAAGGCACTACCCTCTGGAAGTCAGCAGTGGAAGGTACCACCCTCTGGAAGGCAGCAGTGGCAGGCACCACCCTCTGGAAGGCAGCAGTGGTGGGCACCACCTTCTGGAAGGCAGTAGTGGAAGACATCACCCTCTGGAAGGTAGCAGTGGAAGGCACCAACCTCTGGAAGGCAGCAGTGGCAGGTACCACCCTTTGGAAGGCAGCAATGGAGGGCATTACCGCTTTGGAAGGCAGCAGTGGAGGGCATCACCTCTCTGGAAGGCATCAGTGGAAGGCACCACCCTCTGGAAGGCAGCAGTGGAGGGCACCACCATCTGGAAGGCAGCTGTGGAAGAAAACACCCTCTGGAAGGCAGCAGTGGAGGGCACCACCCTCTGGAAGGTAGCAGTGGCAGGCACCACATTCTTGAAGGCAGCAGTGGTAGGCACCACCCTCTGGAAGGCAGCAGTGGAGGGCACCACCTTCTGGAAGGCAGCTGTGGAAGACAACACCCTCTGGAAGGCATCAGTGGAAGGCACCAGCCTCTGGAAGGCAGCAGTGGAAGGCACCACCACAGTACCCTCTGACTGCCTGCTGCACTCAGATCAACAACAGTGTTACCCAGTGAATCAGGATATTTTCGTACCTCTTTCTGAATAATATTTCACGCAACAAAATCTTGGAGTTACTCCTCACTGTATTATTTCCACGTCTATGGAAATAATACAAAGCTGTTAATTTACATCTTCGGATATGTACTCAAATGATACATTCGTATTTAATCTTAGGTATTTTCTGTAGGAACCAATTGTGTGGAGTTGCAAGTAAAATATGTAATATCTTAAAATACTCTTTGTATATATGTAATATATATATATATATATATATATATATATATATACTGATAACAATATCTCTTTTCTGACCTTTGACCTGACATTACCTCAGATTCATATAAATCCTGGTTGGATAGTAAATAAAATGTATATCTTACATTAAATTTGATTTATACTTTAAAAAGTTTAAATAGATTTTTTTTTAGTATTTATCTTCAGTAAATGCTGAATGACCCTTGTATGGTTTAGCTCTTAGTTATTATTTTAATAATAATAATAATATACAGTGAATGACCTCATGCAGTCATGGACCGGGTCACGGGGGCGCTGACCCCCTGAATATATATATTTATATATATATATATATATATATATATATATATAATTATATATAATATATATATATATATATATAATATATATATATATATATATAATACCCAATTATTGACACTGTGCAGTATGGAACATACTTAAAATTTAATTCATAATTCCTTGTAAGGGTTACATCCATTTCCTGGAAGGGCTACATGTGTCCCTTGGGTCGCAGGTTGGGGACCCCTGGTCTAAACGATTCAAAGATTCCTATCATTAAATTAATAAAAACGGTATGAATCTCTTTCTCACAAATGAGATATTTATCACAAAATCTAAGTTGAAGAATGACATTCAGTGTAACAGTCAGTATTTGAGTATACGAAGAGTGAGTAGCGTGAGACACCGCCCCCCCCCCGGCCCGGTCAGTGTCCCGGCCTTGCTGTGTTCCTCTTTCTCCTGTAATAGTCGACTGACATCCAGGTACCTACACCCAGGTACCTACATGCATTCACCTACACCCAAATACCTACGTCCAGGTACCTACACCCAGGTACCTACATCCAGGTACCTACACCCAGGTACCTACATGCAGACACCTACACCCAGATACCTACATCCAGGTACCTATACCCAGGTACTTACATCCAGGTGTCTACATCCAGGTACTTACATCCAGGCAACTACACCCAGGCACCTACATCCGGGTACCTACACCCAGGTACCTTCATCCAGGTACCTACACCCAGGTGCCTACATGCATTCACCTACACCCAAATACCTACGTCCAGGTACCTACACCCAGGTACCTACATCCAGGTACCTACACCCAGGTAACTACATCCAGGTAACTACACTCAGGTAATTACATAATAGTAACTACATCCAGGTACCTACACCCTGGTAACTACATAAAGGTAACTACATCCAGGTAACTACATCCAGATAACTACACCCAGGTACCTACATCCACGTGTCTACACTCAGGTACCTACATCCAGGTACCTACACCCAGGTACCTATACCCATGTACTTACATCCAATTACCTACACCCAGGTACCTACATCCAGATACCTACGCCCAAGCACTTACATCCAGGTACCTACACCCAGGTAACTACATCCAGGTAACTACACTCAGGTAACTACATAAAGGTAACTACATCCAGGTACCTACACCCTGTTAACTACATTAAGGTAACTACATCCAGGTAACTACATCCAGGTAACTACACCCAGGTACCTACATCCACGTGTCTACACCCAGGTACCTTCATCCAGGTACCTACACCCAGGTACCTACATGCATTCACCTACACCCAAATACCTACGTCCAGGTATCTACACTCAGATACCTACATCCAGGTACCTACACCCAAGTACCTACTTACTACTTAGTAACCAGGGGCAACAAGTCTAATAAAACACGTCCAATGATTACATTCATTTTTTTTGTTAAATTACTGTTTAAAAGAGCCACATTTTTCTGCTGCAACATCGAAATAATACCATTTTTGGTTTACTGATTCAAATATCTATTCGCTGAGAATAAAAAATATGAATATAATACACATACTACACAATATTTGGCAATAATGAACTCTACAGATGCCTCATCTTCCTATCATATATCCTTATAATTTGTACCCTCTGTATCTTGCGTTCATATATATCAGGCTACAAATGCTAATTTAAGAATATTTTCATCCAAATCATTTTATTTAATAATTATATAGAAACTGACGGATGGAAATACAGCAAAGTGTTTTAGATGGCAGCACCGCTGTGAGCACCAGTATACGTAAACAGATGGAATCGTCAAGGTCGTGGTGATACACTTGTAGTGGTGTGTTGGACGGTGTGTTGAGTGTCTCGGCAGAATGTGTGTGTGTGTTAAGTAACTTTATTCAGGTATACACAAATACAGTTATATAGATTATCATACATAGCAGCATAGGTGGAGAGAACCTGGGATAACCCAGAAAAGTCAGAGTGACTTATTTCCATTTAATGTCAGACTTGGCTTAGCGTTTCTTTTTGATTATAATAATAATGTCAAAACTTCATATTCCATGGTAGAGAAATAGCAAAGATTTATTTCATGTGTTTTGCGTTAACCAAATAAACGTCATGGGCCATGCAGTACACACTGGCATACGTGGGATGAACTGCCCATAAGACAATATGTGTAGCTTGGAGTTGGTATCTAGAGTGCATTGAGTGGCTTAAGCAGTGTGAATCCTCTCATAGTATGTTGTGTATTCTCTATGGCTTAGAGGACCCCAATGGAAATGGTTACTTTGATTTTTTTGGGGTTATGCTAGGTAATTTACACTCTGTATAAATATACTTATGTGTATCTGTGCCTAAATAAACTTACTTTGCATGACGTTATCATATCTCCTTTGTTCTAATTTCTTCGTCAGGTAAAGTTTAGCTATTCGATGGTATCAACAGGTACATTACATGAAATACAGAAAAAGGAGAACATGAGAGATTGAACTGAGGCTGGACATAAGTGTTCTTGTATCAGTAGATAGCGTAATCATCTGGAGAGGAGGTGGGCTGGTGCTGGTACCGATTCGTTTGTCTCATTCAAGTCGCCTTCAACAAAAGTGACTATATCAGGTTAGTCTTCGCCATTTTGAGCCCATTAAAAAAAACTACATATACACATAAAATGGGATCTTGGAGTAAAAATTTCACTAAAAATATCTCCTGGGGTTACATATCAGATGAATTTGTGTTCCGGCATCAGTGATTCTGGTTAAGTTTTCGACTACATTTAATTAAGCACGTCAATCTATCGGTACCTTGCATATGGTCGACAAGATGTGTGAGGTTCCACTAGGAGCCTCATCGACCATCTTACATATACATGTTTTGAATCGAATCGTGTATTAATATTAAGTGAATTAACCCGATGTTTCTCTCCTCCCTGCACGATCCTTCGTTCTCCCTATCCTCGCCAGGTCACCATTGGAAAAGACACGGCCCGGGACATGTACCGGTGACTCATTCAAGTTCCCTATCCTCCAGCAGTCTCTCCCACCGGAGACAGAAGAATCACTACACATTACTATAACAAAAATTAAAACACCCTCCATAAATGGAAAAATGATTGGCAGAGTTTTTTTTTTTTATTTTTCGTCTTGTCCTCCTTAATACTTACAATCCGTGAAGACGAGTACAATTATATAGCAGCATTTATTTCAAACCAACTCAACAGATCTCACCATCCACCCTGGCAGGGAGTCGAGATCTGGCGCTTTTAACCACTCGGCCACAGATTCAACATAAATTTGGACGACCTGCTGACTTTAGTTGCAGATTCCTAAAGCCGGAGTCACCAGCAGATAAATGTTTATAGCGAGTAATATTACGGTGGACAAAATGCCTAAATCCACACTTAAAGCTCTGGGTGGAGACATGTTTACCGATCATTCTCTTCGTATTTACCATTAAAGCAATAGTTGATTATTAATTAACAGAGTTATAAAGATTTCAACGTGTTGTCTTGGCCACAGGTGTGAGGCACGATGCCTGCCTTCCAGTTGCTTGCCTCTAGTGAGAAGTGTGTGGACGAGGGACTACTGGCAGTGGCTGCCACTAATCCAGGCCTTTACCTCATTCCACAACATGTGAGTCTCTATCGGTTTATCACTTCCCAGTGAATATAAACCAATAATAACACGTGAATCCTAGAAATTTTCACTCCTAGTCGACGCTAGGCTACCCCCAACATTGTCTTACTCATGCTTACACCATAATTTTTCTTAGCGTGATTGTTAAAGTTTCATAGTCTTCCGATGTATGTAGGAGGAACTGGAAGCTTACCTAGAGGCATGTTGATCATTGTGAACTTTCTCATGGTGGCAGCGTTTGATGGTTGAGCGAGGACGGTTGGTCAAGGGACGCAGCGGAGACAGGAGGAAAGTTGCGTTAGTATCAGGTGGAGGTTCTGGCCATGAACCCTTCTCCGTAGGTGAGTCAAGTGTGACAAACTTTTTCAAGGTGTTGTTACTCCTTCATTTATCACCTTTGACTCTCTCCTGTCATTCTGACTAAAGTAAATCTTGATTAATTGGCACTTGCATGAAGATTCACAGTATTCAGTGAGTTTGTATAGTCTAAAACTGACATTTTTCCGACACCTTCGTTATATTTAATAATATTTAGAACTTGGTGATCCTCCACTTAAACAAATTATAGTATTAATCACTATATTTTTAATAATAATAATAATAATAATAATAATAATAATAATAATAATAATCCTCTAAAATTAAATACAAGCGACTGCAAAAAAAACAAAATACATTTTGTTGCATATATATAACAACATATTTTGAATAACTTGGAAAGTGAAAATAAGACGTAGTTTTGTATCACGTTTTTATTAGAATGTTTCACTCTATGTAAAACTTTTTCAAGTCGCAACTTGATAATCTTACTCAGAGAGAAACAATAACCCAACAAAAGCGTGTTCTGCATCGTGTCTTCATTATTCTCAGCAGTAAAGTTATTTGCATCCAACTAAAAGAAGTGAATATAACTACAGTTCTGATTTCTCTTTTAATCATGCCTCCGCCCTGGTGGCTTCTCCAGGCTATGTTGGGGTGGGTATGCTGGCAGCCTCCACCGCGGGACACATCTTCACTTCTCCGCCTCCAACTGATATTGCTGCTGCTATAACAGCTGTTGGTAGAGACAACCCAGGTATTCCACTCCCATGCTTGATAGTGTGGTAGGTCTCATGCTTTTACATATATGATAAACGTGGCGGTACTGTGTATAAGTTGTAGATTTTGCTGCCGAAGCGCCTAGTTTATTGTGCACCGTATATCCATCCTTTGGACGGTAGCGCAAGAGCATATGGATACGCAAAAGGTCTTGGATCTAGGCCCCAAAACCCCTCAAGGAAGGTTCCTTGATGTTGGTGAGGGGCTCTTGATTTGGGGAATTGGATCTGTGCTCCAGTTCCCCGAATTAAGCCTGAATGCCTTCCACATCCCCCCCCCAGGCGCTGTATAATCCTCCGGGTTTAGCGCTTCCCCCTTGATTATAATAATAATAATAATAGGCCCCAAAAGGGCTTACAGGAGTACATCTGGATGTCTAAGAGGTTTTGTAAAGTCAATTGTGCATTACTGCTGTTGTGTGGAACAGTGTCTCATAAGGATGAGTTGCTGCTGCAATGCAGAGATGCTCATAAAAACATCTGGAGGGATACTAACCTTGAAGTTTCTAAACACAGGCGGTGTCTTTGACGAAAAGATCAAGTACATCGCTAGTCATGATTTTGTTGAGAGTAGGAAGTGCTTCCCCGTTTAAAACTTGGGTGACAGAATGAATTAATTGCTTTGTTAGTCTTTGTTATATCGTTTTAACGTAGGATAACCTAGAGAAGTCAAACACTCTCCCTTGTTTCCAGAGGGAGTGCTAGTGATTGTTTTTAACTACACTGGAGACCGCATCAACTTTGGTCTGGCCGTCGAGCGCTGTCGAGCAGCAGGAATGAAGGTTAGTGGGAGTGCATGATGGTGGTAGTTTGTGTGTCAGGAAACAGTCGTCTCTTCAAGCGGGTCATTGTCAAGATGTTGATATGTAATGTGGAGGTTGAGTATGGATTGTTTGACTGCCAGGATATATGTGTTTACTGAGATTATTATCGGGTAAACTGGGCGTATTAATGAGTGTATTGCGAGTATTTAAGAGTTTCATGTGAGTATTAACGGGTGTGCTGTGGTTTTATTAACATAGGGTTTTACAAGGTTAGGTTAAGGTTCCTAACTTTTACCTACATCAGCTCATTTGGAAGTCTTTTGATTATGAGACACAAATAGGGAACAGGATGAAGTTGGAGCCATCGGTGGGCCAGCGATTTCACTTGGTTAACTAACGTTATTTCGTTGATATATGAACATGTTGTCGGAAATACTGCGAATATTGCTAATTACAATATCCTAGATTTTTTTTTTCTTTTCTTGACCTCGCCATCGTTTTTCAAATCTTGTTTTCATCTCCTGGACTCTGTCTCTCTCTCTCATAGACGTTGTCTATCAACAAAACACTAACGTGTTAGTCTGCATTTAGGTTGAGATGTACATATCCGGGGAGGACTGTGCTCTGACGCAGCTGGAGGGGACGGCAGGACGCCGAGGACTCTGTGGTACATTGTTCATCTTCAAGGTAACTCACTCGTCCAAGGAACTCATTCTTTAAGGCAACTCCTTTTTCAAAGTAACTCACTCTTCAAGGTAACTTACTCTTCAAAGTATTTCACTCTTCAGGGTAACTCGTTCTCAGCAGAAGAAAGAAATTTATCATAAAGAGTGATTGAACTCACTGAAGTGTGTACACGTGTGTGGTGTATCGAGACTTCAGGCTGTGAAACGTATTTCTACACTGTGTATGCTATTTAGTAAAAAAAAATATATAACTCTATACAGTATATTGTTACCATAACCAGCGCACTTATCTCTGACTGATGAACTTGGAATTTTAGTCTCAATTTACATATTAATGCTAGAATTGATGCCATGTGTAGAAACACAAATTATCATAGTTTTTAATCAAACTTGCTGTCTAAACTTGCTGTCTAAACTTGCTCTCTAAACTTTCTCTCTAGACTGCATTTCAAGGGAAAACTGAGCAAAATCTTAAATCATCAACTAAGTCAAAGGAGTTGTGAGTGTTAAGTACCCGGTTATATTGCTGGGTCATAATCTCAGAGCTTCCTTTGCTCCGTCAGATTGTGGGAGCTCTGGTGGAGGGTGGGGCGAGTCTTGAGGAAGCTGTGGATACCTGCAGGAAGCTAGGGAACGCCCTGGGTACCATCGGTGTGGCTGCTAGCGGGTGCACGCTGCCTGGGGGCACGTCTCCGCTCTTCGAAGTCCCTGAAGGTCGCCTCGAACTCGGCCTGGGCGTCCACGGCGAGACTGGAGCAGCGACTATCAAGGTAAATGTTATTTGTAATTTTGTTCCTTCACCTTTATTCGTTAGTCTGCGGGCGACTAGAACCAACAGGCTGGTCTGCGACTGACCTGAGGGGATGGTGATCCCCGAAACCATCTTTGGGTAAATTTTAGTGTGGAGCCAATAGTTACATCAAGCGCTAAATCTGTGTAGGTCATTTAGCGGAAAGTGTGGTGTAGGCTCGATCCTCCGTACATGGACTCAGTATACTTTATTTCAAGCTTGGAGCTTGAAGCTTTATAAAATAAAACTTATCCAGTAAATTTTCCTATAAATTGGATAAAAAAATATATATATTATAACCTTACGGCTTTCTATATAAACTAGTGAAGGGTCTTGATCAAAGGCATCGGAGCTTTCATTTCCTTGAGTGAAGCCTTATTACCTTAAACTCTTTAAGCGCTGACTGACTCTCACGGGTTTGGTACAACTACTCGAATATAATAATAATAATAATAATAATAATAATAATAATAATAATAATAAACTATCTTTACTAATAATCTCGTCGAGAAAGTCCGTAGGGTCAGTGACGCCATTATTATCTAGTAAGTAGCATTAGTGACGACTTTACTACACCCTGCAGGCTGGGTCGCCGAAGGAGGTGGTGGAGACGATGCTGACCCAACTGACGAGGAAGGACTCAACTACCAGACTTCCCCTGCAGGATGGTGACAAGGTGGCAGTGATGGTCAACAACATGGGTTGTCTCTCGCAGCTGGAGATGAATAACCTCACCAAGGAGATCGTCTCACAGCTTCGTCAGTAGTATTTTAATTTGATGAACTCTCCTTATAATATTAATCGCGTTTTCACCCCAATGGTTATCAATTTTCTTTGATATAAGCAGAGAAGTTCCAAAGTCCAGTTGTAGAAGTAACATTTCTCAGTTGACACATTTCTGTATATATATTTTAATGATTACAATGTGTCATTAAAATTACAGAACTTATTGGTCCCATTAATACAAGGAGAGAAAATATGCTTTGAGCAATAATGATAACTATTATTCCTAACATATATATATATTATATATATATATATATATATATATATATATATATATATATATATATATATATATATATATATATATATATGTGTGTGTGTGTGTGTGTGTGTGTGTGTGTGTGTGTGTGTGTGTGTGTGTGTGTGTGTGTGGTAATATTATGAAGGATTAAGAGAAACCGGCAGGTCGGACTTGAGTCCTGGAGATGGGAAGTACAGTGTCTGCATTCTGGAGGAGGGGTGTTAATGTTGCAGTTTTATAACTGGAGTGTAAGCGCCCCTCTGCCAAGACAGTGATGGAGTGAATGACGGTGAAAGTTTTTCTTTCTCAGGCCACTCTGCGCTGGTGGGAAAACGGCCGATGTGTTAATAAAAAAAAAATTTGTATATGTATGTAAAACTTCATAAATATATATATATATATATATATATATATATATATATATATATATATATATATATATAATATATATATATATATATATATATTATATATATATATATATATATATATATATAATATATAATATATATATATATATATATATATATATACAGTGCTCACACACACTGTGTGACCCAACAGAAAGCCTGGGAGTGAGTGTAGAGCGAGTGTATGCTGGTATGATGATGACCAGCCTGGATATGCGAGGACTACACATGTCAGTGTTACGTCTCCTGGACCCTGCATGGTTACCATTGCTTGATGCCCCGACTACCGCCCCTGCCTGGACTGCCCCATGTCTGCTCAACCATTTCACCGCCGGGGAGGTGCTGATACCCAACCTCACTCTTACCCTCACACAGGAAAAGATGGTAAGATATAATTAAATGAAAGGTAACGTTTTAGCAGGAATGGAGAAAAGAAAACTGGACCGAGAAATGTCGGTTTCCCAGTGTGAGTCGGTTTAGAATAATACAAATATATGCTTAATCGAGACAACGATATGACTGTCTTAGAATGAGTTAGATACAGAAGTTAGATTGCTTGGGTGTTGGTGGGACCTTCCTAGAGCATGAACTAGAAGGCCTGTTCTAGTGCTTATGATTCTGTATATTTTTTAATGTTTCTAAGACTCCTAGAAAAGTTGAAATACAGTTTTAATCATTTGACGTTTTCCTAATTGTCTGAAACCGCAAACTACTGAAGAAGCAAATCTTTCTACAGAAAAGGAGTTTATCATCCGGTCAGGATCACACATACAATACTTTCTCAGTCAATAACGTATTAAATCTTTGCTAAAACATTCTAAAGTATGATTTTTCTCGTTAATAATATTCTCGACAAATCGACAACTTTGAGAAAGTAAAGGACGATAGAGACCTGGAAGGCAGGTATCATCAGACTGAACTTAGGAATGGTCAACTGGACTGTATAATAGACAAAATTTAAACTATACAGCAGTGTAGAGTTTAAATATTGTTTACTGTACATTTAATAACGAAAATTTAAATAATTTCTTATGAGGCTCTTAGTTCTATGTGTATATTCTTTATTGATTATTAGTTGATTTATAGAGAAGAATTGTAGTCCTCTTAGGAAGGTGTTATACTTGAACTAAAGGATCCAAATAGAAATAAGTCACTCTGACTCTTTTGGGTTATCCCAGGTTCTCTACACAATGCTGCTGTGTATGATAATCTATGTAACTATAATTGTGTATACCTGAATAAACTTACTGTTTCTCCCTTCACTACTTAACAGGATCACGACTACATTTTCTCAGAGGAAGCTCAAGCCCAGACACTGAAGGCTTGTTTGGAGTCTGTGGTGAGCCAGCTGCCAAGGCACGAGCAGGACCTCAACATCTTGGACACAGTGTGTGGAGATGGTGACTGTGGCTCTACCCTCATGAAAGGAATTACAGGTCAGTGGCAGCAGTGAGCAGACTGGGTGGGGACCAGCACGCTGAGTAGTGTTGTCATCCTTAATAAACAAACATGTATACAAAAGCAAGACTTTACTGGGTGAAGATGGTTGGTGTAAATTGTGAAGAGGTACTGATACACTGTCAGATATTCAAGTATATACGAGAGATAAATTCCAATAATAATAATAATAATAATAATAATAATAATAATAATAATAGTAATACATTACAAATTTCTATAGTCAACTATTTTTGTCCTCGTTCAATTTAGTTTTTACATCGATTCTCTTCAGTGCTGTCGAAGCGGATGTCAACATTACCCGTGACGCAGCCCCGTCAAGTTCTCAATGTTCTTGGGGAAGTGTCGGCTGATGCCATGGGCGGCACCTCAGGGGGACTGTATTCCATCATGTTTACTGCAATAGCTGCTAGTCTTTCGTCTACTGCATCCTCAAGCAGGAAAATGTGGGCTGCGGCACTGAGAGCTGGCTGCCAGGCAATCAGCAAGTACGGAGGAGCTACGCAGGGAGACAGAACCATGGTAAATATGGAGTGAAAAGCACTTCTTTGAGACGCCTGAAAGCCTGATACTCGTCTCTGAGTAGGCCAAAGACTCCTCTCTGAGTAGGCCAAAGACTCCTCTCTGAGTAGGCCAAAGACTCATCTTTCAGTAGGCCAAAGACTCATTTCTCAGTAGGCCAAAGACACATCTCTCAGTAGGTTAAAGACTCATCTCTCAGTAGGCCAAAGACACATCTCTCAGTAGGCCAAAGACTCATCTCTCAGTAGGCCAAAGACACATCTCTCAGTAGGCCAAAGACTCATTTCTCAGTAGGCCAAAGGCACATCTCTCAGTAGGCCAAAGACTCATCTCTCAGTAGGCCAAAGACACATCTCTCAGTAGGCCAAAGACTCATCTCTCAGTAGGCCAAAGACACATCTCTCAGTAGGCCAAAGACTCATCTCTCAGTAGGCCAAAGACACATCTCTCAGTAGGCCAAAGACTCATCTCTCAGTAGGCCAAAGACTCATCTCTCATCTACGTACATTTCAGTCAGTCTTCTTTTACATACATACACATGCTTTCTCCTCAACTAGTTACTTCCTCTCAGTCTTACTTACGCAAATTCATTTTTCTTCGTGTTTATATGTGTTATATGTTATGAATTCGGTAAATAATAGCTTTATGCATGAGCACACACATGCATACACATACACACATGTATTTTTAAGGCTATAAGTTCGGAGCCATGAACCGCTATGATATGGTCCTAGATGCACTGGAAAACAAACAGAATGCGGATGTAGTTTACACAGACTTTGCAAAAGCCTTTGACAAGTGCGACCATGGTGTAATAGCACACAAAATGCGTGCTAAAGGGATAACCGGCAAAGAAGGCAGATGGATCTTCAACTTTCTAACCAATCGCACACAAAGAGTAGTAAGTAAACAGAGTTAAATCAGATGCTGCCATAGTGAAGAGCTCTGTCCCACAAGGCACAGTACTCACACCTATCCTGTTCCTTATTCTCATATCAGACATAGACAGAGATGTAAACCACAGCACTGTATCATCTTTTGCAGACGATACTAGGATCTGCATGAGAGTGTCATCCATTGAGGACACGGCAAAGCTCCAAGAAGATATAAACCAAGTTTTCCAATGGGCAACAGAGAACAATATGATGTTCAATGAAGACAAATTCCAACTACTCCGTTATGGAAAATTGGAGGAAATAGCTAGAACTGAGTATACTACAAACTCCAATCACACAATAGAGAGGAGAAGTAATGTGAAGGACCTGGGTGTGGTAATGTCCGAAAACCTCAACTTCAAGGATCACAACAATGCCACTATCACATCTGCTAGGAAACTGATAGGATGGATAATGAGAACATTCAAGACAGAGGCCAAGCCAATGATGATCCTTTTTAAATCACTTATTCTTTCTAGGCTGGAATACTGCTGTACATTAACATCCCCATTCAAGGCAGGTGAAATTGCAGAGCTAGAGAATGTACAGAGAACCTTTACTGCACGTATAAGTTCCATCAAACACCTTAACTACTGGGAGCGCCTGGAAGCACTTGACTTGTACTCACTGGAGCGCAGGAGAGAGAGATATATCATAATCTACACCTGGAAGATTCTGGAGGGACTGGTCCCTAACATGCACACAGCAATCACTCTATACGAAAGCAAAAGACTTGGCAGGCGATGCAACATACCCCCAGTGAAAAGTAGGGGCGTCACTGGTACACTAAGAGAAAACACAATAAGTGTCCGGGGCCCAAGACTGTTCAACAGCCTCCCACCAGCAATAAGGGGCATTACGGGAAGACCCCTGGTTGTCTTCAAGAGGGAGCTGGACATATACCTAAAGACGGTGCCGGATCAACCGGGCTGTGGTTCGTACGTTGGATTACGTGCGGCCAGCAGTAACAGCCTCGTTGACCAGGCCCTGATCCACCGGGAGGCCTGGTCATGGACCGGGCCGCAGGGACGTTGATCCCCGGAATGCCCTCCAGGTAGACTCCAGGTAGGTAGAAGTGAGTGTATGGTCCTGCCTGTGGTCCCGGGCTCAACACTGATATTCTTTTTTATCCACATAACAGTACGTTGGGAATCATTCCAATATGTCCGGTCCATTTATACATTCACTGGATTTCAGTTCTTGCATTTTTTAACGGTGGAGTAACTAAAACGTTATGGGAAGACGTAAACATGTAATCTGTTTTAGTTGGATGCCTTAGTGCCAGCAGTGGAGGCACTGGAGGCTGGCAGTGACGACGATGACCTGAGAAGTCTCCTGAAGGCTATGGCAGCAGCTGCTGACGATGGTGCCAAAATGACAGCAAACATAAAAGCACGGTAGGGGCACGAAAAATTTATGTACATATTACATAGAGGAAATTGCTTTGCAATATTAATTACATATTGTATATTTCAAAGTAAATGCCACATTAATTATATATTTCCAGTTACCAAATATTACTAAGTTACCATAAGTAGAACTAGATTTAGTATTTCTCTTTTTTTTTATACTAATATAATAATTCACTACCAGAGTCAAAACAGGACAAGAGTAATTTTCCCAACTGGAACCAAATTTATCATTAAAAATAAATAAATAACAAAAAGATGAACTGTCTCTTAAAGCAATCTAACCTAAAAGTTGGACCATCGAAATTTTAGGGAACTTAGATATCTACTATAGAAGTCTAATTTTATATATATATATATATATATATATAATATATATATATATATATATATATATATATATATATATATATATATATATATATATTTATATATATATAGCTTTAAGCAGAGGTATGATAAAGCTCACGGTTCAAGGAGAGTGACCTAGTAGCGACCAGTGAAGAGGCGGGGCCAGGAGCTCGGACTCGACCCCCGCAACCTCAACTAGGTGAGTACACACACAAACATACACAGATTATATATATATATATATATATATATATATATATATATATATATATATATATATATATATATATATATATATTTCTCTATCAGTGCTGGACGAGCTACTTACGTACGAGTAGAGAACGTGAAGAGAGAGGATGCTGGGGCCAGGTCTGTGGTTCACATCTTACAGGCCATGGCTCAGTACTGACCTACCTTACATCTGCTGCTTCCTGACTAACATCTTAAACAACTCAGCTGACTTTACCTTGAGTCACATCTGGACAGTCTGCGGCAGGAATCAAGCAGACCGTCAACTACATATACAAATAAGAAGAGTTGCTTTTTTTTTGTCATCATGCGAGGGTTGAATTAGGGAAAGGGAGTTTCTATATATGTTTTGACAGTCTACCGTCAAGATATTAATATTGCAGTCATAGGGAGTGACACAGCGTCTGAGAAATGGTAGGCAAAGAGGTTTCTTAGTGCTGGTGAGGGGATGCACTTGATCTAAGAAATTGGACCCCGGCTTCGATCCCTTGAATCGAGTCTGAATGCCTTCCATTCCCCCAGGAGCTGTATATCCCCTACGGGTTTAGCGCACGTAAGGGCTACAGGTCATTGTGCAGATTGGACAAATATCAAATAATTACTTCCCTGTAATTCTACATCTCTTATCAAGCATGATGCACAATATATTTCAAATTTGTGTCCTGGAATGTACAAACTTGACAATTTTATACTCCAGAATATTGTTGACAAGCTTAAAGGTAACAATACTTTTCACAAAAATACAGTGTGTGTTCTCTGTCAGTCTAACAGTTTCACTTTATGTTGGACACATGTTTATGTGGGTTAGATTTGTACGGGACCTGTTTGTGTGAGGTGTTGTCACCTCTGGGTGATGTGTTGTCACCTCTGGGTGAGGTGTTGTCACCTCTGGGTGAGGTGTTGTCACCTCTGGGTGAGGTGCTGTCACCTCTGGGTGAGGTGCTGTCACCTCTGGGTGAGGTGTTGTCACCTCTGGGTGAAGTACTGTCACCTCTGGGTGAAGTGCAGTCACCTCTGGTTGAGGTGCAGTCACCTCTGGATGAGGTGCAGTCACCTCTGGATGAAGTGCTGTCACCTCTGGATGAGGTGCTGTCACCTCTGGATGAGGTGCTATCACCTCTGGATGAGGTGCTGTCACCTCTGGATGAGGTGCTGTCACCTCTGGGTGAAGTGCTGTCACCTCTGGGTGAAGTGCTGTCACCTCTGGGTGAAGTGCTGTCACCTCTGGGTAAGGTGCTGTCACCTCTGGGTGAGGTGCTGTCAACTCTGGGTGAGGTGCTGTCACCTCTGGGTGAGGTGCTGTCACCTCTGGGCGAGGTGCTGTCACCTCTGGGTGAAGTGCTGTCACCTCTGGGTGAAGTGCTGTCACCTCTGGGTGAGGTGCTGTCACCTCTGGGTGAAGTGCTGTCACCTCTGGGTGAAGTGCTGTCACCTCTGGGTGAAGTGCTGTCACCTCTGGGTGAGGTGCTGTCACCTCTGGGTGAAGTGCTGTCACCTCTGGGTGAAGTGCTGTCACCTCTGGGTGAAGTGCTGTCACCTCTGGGTGAGGTGCTGTCACCTCTGGGTGAAATGCTGTCACCTCTGGGTGAAGTGCTGTCACCTCTGGGTGAAGTGCTGTCACCTCTGGGTGAGGTGCTGTCACCTCTGGGTGAAGTGCTGTCACCTCTGGGTGAGGTGCTGTCACCTCTGGGTGAAGTGCTGTCACCTCTGGGTGAGGTGCTGTCACCTCTGGGTGAGGTGCTGTCACCTCTGGGTGAAGTGCTGTCACCTCTGGGTGAGGTGTCACATCAGATTTAACATATAAAATATGCTTCTCTTGCCTTTTCTTCCAATTCCTCTGAAGATGTGTGCGTAAGGACATGAAAGTGTTCAGGTTTTATTTTCTATTTTCACTCTGGTACTTTTACACACACACACACTGACGGAGGACAGAAGGGTCAGGGGAGACATGATAACGACATACAAGATACTGCAGGGAATAGACAAGGTGGACAGAGATAGGATGTTCCAGAGAGGGGACACAGGGACAAGGGGTCACAACTGGAAGCTGAAGACTCAGACGAGTCACAGGGACGTTAGGAAGTATTTCTTCAGTCATAGAGTTGTCAGCAAGTGGAATAGCCTAGCAAGTGAAGTAGTGGAGGCAGGAACCATACATAGTTTTAAGAAGAGGTTATGAACAAAAATAGCTCAGTGAATGAGGCGGGACCCGGAGTAGCTCGACCATGAACACGTTGGCAGGTACATCATCACACACACCAACCACACATTATATAGATATCAACTACACTATATAATACAATATTTATATATATATATATATATATATATATATATATTATATATATATATATATATATATATATATAATATATATATATTATATATATATATATATATATATATATATATTATTATATATTATGTATATTCGTATTGTAACCACGAACGAGTGATATTTAATCAATAATAACACTGCGACTAGCCGAGGGCTCGAACCCATGTTGTTTTGGCCCGCCTCATGGTGAGCAAAAATCACACCAATTTTTTTTTGAATACTTCTTGTAATATTAAAATATAAGCCAGAAGAAGTAGTTATATATTTATCCTGAAAATATATATTCTCTAATAAATAATAGCAATGATAATAATGTAATCAAGTTAAGCACTAAACCTGAAGGTTCTCTCTACTCAGTAGGGCTCCCCACCACTTCAATGAGTTGTTTGGTGCTATGAAAGGCTTCTTATCCAAGGAAATGGAACTACCCTTCCCCTTCGATTAAACTTGTTTACCTCCACATTCCCAAGCTTTGCATGACCCCTACAAATTTAGTGCTCCATGAATTTCTTTTCCCTTCCTCCTATAATAAAAATAAATAATGTCTTTATTTACTCCAAGTACATGTACAAGGTATGCCGACCATTGCTGATATCAAGGACATACTACTATATAGAAAGCCGCTTGTTATGCTGAGCATTCCAGACAAATTAGGTCAGTTTTGTCCCAGGATGCGACCCACACCAGTCCACTAACACCCAGGTACCCATTTCACACTGATGGGTGAATATGGACAGTAGCTTTGGAACACAGCCCTAATTTTTTCCCATCCGTACCGGAGAGATTCGAATTGGCTTGTGTGTACCCATCAAGAAGGTTCCTGATGTTGTGAGTAGGCTCTGACTATTAGGAATTGGTCTGTGCTCCAGATTCCGCAATTAAGCTGAATGCACTCCACAATCCCTCCCCCCCCCAGGCGCTGTATAATGACTCGGGTTTATGCGAACCTCCCTTGTTATAATATAATAATAATGGGCCTGTGTGTGAGCTGAGTGCGCTACCGACCGAGCTACGGGACACTAGGGTGATTTTGCTATCAGTTTTGTTCCTTTTCTGCGGGTACCTAGCAACAAGCAGAACGCTGCGTTAACATAAGATTTGTTAGGATTTTTAACCCGGGGAGGGTTACATACCCAGAATAACCCAAGAAGTCAGTGCATCATACAGATCCTTCAATCTTATCCCACAGGATGCGACTCATATCGGTCTACTAACACCCAAGTACCTATTTACTACTAGGTGAACGGGGACAGGAGGTGAAAGGAAACATACCCAGTATTTCCACCCATAAAGAACAAAAAAAGGCACAATACCCTGACTGGAACAACCATGCCGGGGATTGAACCACGGACACTCAGTGTGTGAAGGGAGTGTGTTACCAACGCCCTATGAAGCAGAAAATAGACATCTGAGAGTAGGAATGGTGTTGTGGGTCACATCCTGATGAAAACAAACAAACGACATCGATGGAAATAAGCCACATTGCTTAATTTTCTTGGCTTATCTGTGGTTAATAATTCAAGTGAGAATTTTCAGATGTCTTTTGTTATCCCTCTGTCTCACGCGACGGCTGTTTTCTGTGAATGTTTACATTGAAGAAAACGGGAATTCTCGTATTATGTTAAGATAATTTGATATTAAGGAAATCATGTTTATGGAGTAACTTGCAATGTGAACAGACTGACTGATGTTGTAGTGGCCAGACTTAGGCTTGGTTACAAGTACTTCTGGCAGTTTGGGAGACACACAGATGATGATCAAACTAAATGTAAATTATGTGATCAGGCATATGGTCACTCTCTTGAACACTATGTGCTTAATTGTCCACTCATTGAGGAATACAGAGACAGACAGTATAATAACCTATGTGACATGTCAAGATATCTTATTAATGAAAATAAGATACCAGATATACTAAGCAAATTTCCTAAATTTGCTTGTAACAGATAAGTGAACTATAGATATGTAGATATAAATCCATATGTATTCCTGTTAACCCTTTGGGTCCTAGTTCCTAGGCCTTTTGTGTATCCATATGCTCTCGCGCTACCGTCCACAGGATGGATATGAGGTGCACAATAAACTAGCCACTTAGGTGGCAAAATCTAAAAAATCTAAGGAAATCATTGTATGACTGGGAAAAATAGCATGAAGCTATGCAGGAATTTTTTGTAATATTTCCAGCATGTGATGGACCTTTCTGGCACATTTTAGTTTTTGGTCAGGGCATGACTGTCAGCAGGAATGGGGATCCTAACGTATTTGCGTAAAAAAAATCCTGAGTGCCACCCACGACAGTCAGCTAGACGAGACGTTGGATAATAAGCGACAGGATTTAATTAAAGTAACTTAATCATAACCATAATTTTTTAAGGAGTTGAGGGTAAGCCAGTGGAAGGCCTCGGCCAGATGACCAAAAGCTCCAGCTACGGGTAATCATTTGACTAAAACTAACCAATTAAGGCAACTTACTTACGTGTTTCACCGGCCGAAGGCTCGATCCTGAATCTGTTTTGACCTGTTTGTTCTCACTACAAAGGTAATCGGTACAAAGTCGTCTTATTAACAACAGTAAAGAAAAAAATATGTCCTGAGCAAATCTCTACTGTGTCAGTGTGATAAAGTTACACAAAGAGCGAAATATCACACTAAAACCTTGCTTCTCATCTGTCTTTTCTACTACAGATAAAAAAAAGTACAATTATAATACACTGTACCCTATATAAAAATACGAGAGTGATATGTGTATAAGCACATGATAGCGCTCAGGTTCTGGTTTTTCACTATGGTTTATTTACATATTGCAATCAGGCGTTTTATTGTGACTTATATGCATTTGGGTCCGTGATTTCCATAGTAGCAATGAATTCCTCAACCAATGGGGCGAGAACACACGCAGCGCGTCAGAAACACAAAAACTGGGTTGAAAGTTGACGTGTGCAGCAGTTAGAGATACAGTTAGAGGACACCTAAAAACTGGAAGCTAAGTTATGTGTAGCGAAGAACGTTGAGATCACAGGTAGTTACACAGGTTGAGATCACAGGTAGTTACACAGGTTGAGATCACAGGTAGTTACACAGGTTGAGATCACAGGTAGTTACACAGGGTGAGATCACAGGTAGTTACACAGGTTGAAATCACAGGTAGTTACACAGGGTGAGACCACAGGTAGTTACACAGGTTGAGATCACAGGTAGTTACACAGGTTGAAATCACAGGTAGTTACACAGGGTGAGACCACAGGTAGTTACACAGGTTGAGATCACAGGTAGTTACACAGGGTGAGATCACAGGTAGTTACACAGGTTGCCACCGTGTTCGGGTAACGGTATCATGGAGAAGCAACAGACTTGTACTTGCGGTTTCTGAGGTTTCGAGCAGTGTGAGAGGACGAACACTTTATGAGGCTTTCAGAATGTTTGATATG